GTGGGTGGGTGGGTGGATGGATGGATAGATAGAGTTCATTCCAGATTTTGGAAAGTATTTGAGATCTTTGGAAACAGATCCTTCTACCTCTGCATTCTGATGACTGATAAGAGTAATCTTTTATATTTGTTTTCTTTCCTTTAATAATGAAAACCCTTTCTATTTGTTGCTTTCTGGAAATGCTTTTTTAGTGTTAATACACATTTGCATTATAGGAAAAAGAATGTTTTCTTGTTCTCTCTCTCCAGTGGATGTAAGTCATTTAAAATTCATAGCTACTGTATTTCAGAAACTGTTGAGATAGTGGTTTTATTAGTTTAAGCAAAAATTCTTCACCTAGGACTCATGGATTTATTTCAGAGGTTTTACTGTAATTATTTTATAGTAATTACTTAGCACAGTTGACTGATTAATGTTTGCAATATGATTTTTTTTTCCTGTTTTAATCTGGTGTGTGTGTGTGTGTGTGTGTGTGTGTATGCACATGCATTTTTTTATTTTTTGATATGGAATCTCATTGTCACTTCCCAGGCTGGTCTCGAACTTGTAGGCCCACAAGGTCAAGTGATCCTCCTGCTTGCTTCATTGTCTGGGACTATAAGCATGTACCACCACACCTGTCTTAATATTTCTAATAATTTGCAGAAAGACTATATCACATTAGTAGGAAGTAAAAAGAAAAAATAGTCCCTAGTATATAGTTTCAGGTAGCCATGATTTGTTTTTAAACTAAGGATTTAGATCTTATATAGTGGAAAACTATTTTCATTTTAGTGTTTTTTCTCTACATGGGCCATGCCTAATCAGAGCTAACCTTCTGGTAGTCACCTTTCGCCTGATTTTTAGTTTCAGCTCAAGCTCCGAACTCTGCCATCACAGCTCAGACTGGTGTTGGGGTGGCATCTACAGTCCATCTAAACCCCATGCAGTTGATGACAGTGGATGCATCACATGCACGACATATCCAGGGGATCCAGCCTGCACCCATCAGTACACAGGGGATCCAGCCTGCACCCATTGGGACTCCAGGGATACAGCCAGCACCAATTGGCACACAGGGAATCCACTCAGCAACTCCAATCAACACTCAAGGGCTTCAGCCTGCACCAATGGGTGCTCAGCAATCACAACCTGAAGGAAAGACTTCAGGTAAATTTAAGTCTTTGCATGGAAGGTAGTATGCAGAAAAGAAGTATATCTGGGTTTTAATCCTGGCTCTGCGACTTGCTGGCTTTGTGGTCTCTGATCATTTCTCTAGGCCTTAGTTTCTTCTGTAACATGAGTTGCTTAGAACTAACCTTTTTTTGTAAACATTAGAAATAACATACAGGGGCCTGGGATAGAGCTCAGAGGCACAGCCTCTGCCTGGTAAGCATGAGGTCATGAGTTTGACTCCCAGTACCAAAAAAACCTGAAAGAAATAACATACAAACAGCCTAATACACATTTGCACATTGTGAGAAAGTTTATAAAACACTTAGTTGAGGGAACAAGTTTACCTTACAAGTAGTGTTTTCGTTTAGTTTATGACTGTCTTCAGATTTGTATGTAAAGTTGTAAAATCTTACACTAATGTTACCTCATGTTGTCAGTGCCTACAAAGAATAGTAGTGGAATAGATACTTTGTAAAATAGAATATGGCTGTATGCTTAAAGTGTTAATTAGCTATTTCTCTGATGTGCTTAACGTGTTCTCACTGGCTTGAACCACCAGTGGTGCTGTCCCATCGGGGGCTTGTACTGCTGGTAATACAAATGAATCTAATCACTTTTATCAGTCCTTTTACTAATAAAATTAATAAAAAGTCTACAAATAGACCAATGTAGTTAGTTGCTTAAATTTGAATACTTACAGCCCAAATATAAATTAACACTGCTTATACCAATGTAATTATTAAGTTAATCAGCAAATTAATTTTATTAAGCTAAAAAAAATTTATTACATTCATGAATTTTTAAAAATCATTTTATCCATAAAGGCAGCTAATCTTTGCAAACCCACAAAACGTCATAACATACCTGGCTTCTTTTACAGCCACAATGGCACACATTTTTTTCAGATAGTCACATGTGTACCACCTGTGGTTCAAGCTGGCAGGAGGAACAAATTCAAGTCAGAGCCACTCAGCAGCAAGACAAACGAATTACAGCCATGTTGTGCACATGTTAAAGAAAATTTGTTTCTCATCCAGAGTATTGATTTTAAAGATCATCTTGTACAGCTGGGCATGGTGGCACATGCCTGTAATCCCTGCACTAAGGGAGGCTGAGCCAGGAAGGTTGTCTCAAAAAAGAAATAAATATATCATTTATATGAACCATAAAATGAATAGATGAACTTAGAAGAAAATTTTATTTTGTCTTGTTTTGCTTTTAGTTGTTGTTTTTACAGTCCTGGGAATAAAACATAGATCTTAGCATATACTAAGCAAGTAGTCTACCATTGAGTTATATCTTTGGCCTAAAACTGATTTTAATTGCTGTGTAGGTCTTTGTGTTTGTTACCTCCAGCCCCTTTGGCCTATATCCCCTCCCCTTTTCTTATTTTTATTTTTATTTTGAGATAGGGTCTCACCAAGTTGCTCAAGCTATATTCAAACATTCAATCCTCCTGTCTCAGCCTCTCAGGGTGCTGGAATTGTAGATGTGTACCGCAACATTCAGCGTACTATGTAGGTCTTGAATTTGTTTATTAACCAGATTCTTCTCAGACTCTTACTGACTATGTTAGAGATGCAGTTTGCCTATAGTATCTGAGTTGGAAGGATGGTACACCTACATCGATAATAGTACCTGCTAACAAACTTGTTTTGAATTGACTGCTATAAAATTGCTATTTTTATAGGTCAAAAACTGTCAGAATAGTTAGCTCATGATTATGGTTGCCAGTACTTTTACGCTAACTTCATGTAATTAAAATACCTTCTTGGGGCTGGGGATATAGCTCAGCAGCACAAGCACCTCCCTGGCAAGCGCAAGATCCTGAGTTCAATTCCCGGTACCCCCCAAAAAAATAGCTTTTTGCGGAATATCTCCCTAAAGATAAACTGGAGAGTAGTGCCATTCTTAGAGAATGAAGAGGAGTCGTGTTTTCCAAAAGCTGCACTAGCCCCTTTTGTAAGGGTACTTTAGAACATGCTGTCAAGCCAGCAGATTATGCTTTCTATTTGTTGATTTTCTTTTTATTAGACTTACAATTCTCTCATTTTTAAAATAGGGGTAGTGATAATCATAAGAACTATGTAAATGAAACTATGTAGAGATACTTCGTTAGATACTCTATAAACTTTGTGTGTTTCATTAGTAACTGATTATAGAGCAAAGAAAGAATAAGGATATCATTTCTGTCAGTCTGTATCAGTAGGTTTCCTAATCTTCTTATGGTGCTGTCCTTATTCTTTTTTTTTTTTTTTTTTTTTCAAAGCTACAGATTAAACTCAAGGACTCGTGCATGCTAGGTATTCTCTATCACTGAACTCCATCTTTCTCCCCAAGTCCCCTTATTCTTTCCCCATCCCCGCCAGGTACAGAGAGTTGAGCCCAGGGACTTTACACAAACACTTACCCCTGCCTTTTTTTATTTTTTATTTTGAGACAAGGTCTCACTGAGTTGTCCAGACTGGGCTGAGCTTGCCATTCTCCTGCCTCTTGAAGTGGCATAGTTAAAGCATGGGATACCTAATGTCAGTATCCTCATGATTTTTATTTATGTCTTATGTGATATTTTAGTAGCATTACTTTTTCCCTTTCCTCATTGTTCTTTCTTGCCATCTCGTTTTCCTCTAGCAGTGGTGTTGGCAGATGGAGCCACAATTGTAGCCAACCCTATCAACAATCCATTCAGTGCTGCTCCAGCAGCAACCACTGTGGTACAGACCCACAGCCAGAATGCTAACACCAACGCTCCTGCCCAGGGCTCTTCCCCCCGGCCAAGCATACTCCGGAAGAAACCTGCCACGGATGGGTAAGTTGATCTGCAGGTGCTTTCGTAGCCAGTGCTGGAAACAACCTAAGCTTCCATTGCTGTGTCATTTGTAAATTTCCTCCAAAACAAACTGACCTCAGGACTGTTCAGGAGAGTCTTGCCCAGCTCAGACTGTAAGAAATTAAGAATCCTCAAGTCAGTGGGGCTTTCATCTTGTAAGCATCTGTGCTGCCCTTAGAGTTCTTGCTAGTTCTGGAAATTTAATCACAGCTATAAAGTAGCTTACAATTAAGTCTTCAGGCTTGTCAGGGTGTTCCATTAATGTGTACTATGTATTTTTTTCTTGACATTCAAAGTGTGAAGTGTTACTAAGGACAAGTTGTTCTCAAAGTGTATTAAGTCTGCTAGTAGTAGATAGTGCTTTGTGTTGCTGTAGAAGTTTCTCCATCGATGGGTCATAGGAAGGTGTGTGCTATGCTATTAAATATGCTGGCAGTAGGAGGAGAACAGCACATTAGAGAGTGGAGTTTCTATGGCTCCGCTGAGCTGATAGCACAGCATCAGAAGATTCCCCCTTCCCAGTTTACCCCAAGCCTCACTCAGGCAGCACATGTGGTTATATACTGACTAGCCCTAGCATCACTCTGACAGGTGTTACTTCAACCAGTCAATTCTTACTTGCATGAGACATACTCATATGTATGTCTGTCTGTTTCATACCAACTATTTTCTCCATCCTTTTTTATTTAGAATGTTGTGTGCCCCTTTGATGTTTGTTTCTCGTGAAATCTAAAGCACATAATAAGTTCTGGTTATTTTCTTAATAATCTGTGTTTATTTGTGAAAAATAACCTGTTATTTTGTGCTATCATCTATAAAAAACTATTATCATAAGTGCATTAGATATAATTTTTATACTTCTACAAAACTTGTCGATGTTCTTTTACAATACAAAATGACATGTTTGGGACACTGAGACGGAATAGAAAGGAAGTATCAAAGATCTGCAAAAGAGAAAACTGGAAAAGGGAGAAGTGTTGGCATATCAGAGAGGAAAAGTCTGTGTTATGAAATGAAAGACAAAAGAGATCTCCTTATTGTCAACTACTGCATTCATAAAACAAATGATAGAACTTGAAAGAAGAAACAAAACTAAACAAATTCCAATAGTGATCATTGATAATAATTCTATGGGTAGTACTGACAGCTGATCCACATCCAACAAGCTATTCTGTAATCAAAAGTGAAGAAAAAATATTATTATAAAATACTTGTACAACTTCTGGACCCCAACACTATCTAACTCATATGTTATTCAAAACAGGGGTTCAAAAAGTCATTTACAGTTTAGATTAGGTCTAATAGACCAAATAATTGAAAAATACAAGATAGCAAAATGCCAGCCACCATTACATTTAGTGGGTAGACATTGTATGAAATTATACCACCCACAGGAAAAAAGAAAAGGCCAGCATAAAGTGTGATGTTCAAAAACAATAATGCAAAAAGAATTCTGAAAGAGACTGGATACTACTGTCCAGGTTGTAACATTGCATTATGCATTGAATGTTTTAAGATATACACAGAAAAATTACTGAATAAATTCAATAAAAGTGTCATTTTTATATTTCCTGTTATCTTATAAAAATTAACAAAAACTATGCAATTTTTGGTCACCCTATATTTAAGTGGTTAAAGCATAGCATAAACTCATTGGAAGTGGGGTTTGCATGGACCAGAGTTCCTGTCTTTAGTAATTATGAATGCTTTTTAAAGAAGATTGGGAGGAGGCATAAGTCAGCTTATGGTGAAGTAACCTTGTCAGTAAAAACACAGAGACAAAGCTTATAGTTAGGATAGCAGATTGAAGTGCCTCTCGATGGCCCATACTTACTTTGTCTGAGGCTGTACCTTTTGTATGTGTGGTACTGTGGATTGAATCCAGGACTTTCACAGTCCTTTTTCTTTTAATTTTTAGACAGTGTCTCATCTCACTAAGTCCCTAAGTTGTCTAAGCTAAACTCAAATTTATGATCCTCCTGACTCAGCCTCACAGAGTGCTGGGATTATATACTTGCACCATCACAGCCAGATGAATGTATACTTCTTTGACTGTGCCTAATAGATCTTTTCTATGTGTCTTAAGAAATAAAAGATCGATTGAGCACTTCCAAATTCCTCTCGCTCTTAAACCCCTGGTGTACCCACATTCCTCTCACTCTTAAATCCCTGGTGTACCTAGGTGTTTTTTAAAAGATTACAGGCACAGAAAGAGAAGTGACTGTAGCAACAGAACTTAGAAGCTTGAGCTGGGTGTGGTGGCGCACACACTTGGGAGGCTGAGGCAGGAGGATCGTGTTGTGTTGTGAGTTGGAGACCAGCCTGGGCTACAAAGTGAGCTCCAGGCCAGCCTGAACTGCATAGTGAGACCGTGTCTCAAAAAGACCAAAAAAAAAAAAACAGAAAACATTTTCTGTCCTGTTTTCATTTCTGTCCTATTGATCCCATGTTGTTCCATTATCTGCTCCCCAACCACATTTTTTAACTCCTCTTAGCAAAGAAAATAAAGTTGGGGCCAGGGATATAGCTCAGTGGTATAAGCACCTGCCTGGCAAAGCGCAAGGTCCTGAATTCGATTTCCAGTACCCCCCGCAAAAAGAAAGTTGATCATTCTTACTCTCTCCAATTCTTCTGCTAGTCCTTTCAGTATTTTCATGGGAGTATAGGAAGTGGCCCAGAAAATGCATACACATCTGGTGAATTGGCAGTGTCTGACTTCTACAGTATTTAGCTAGCGCTTTCTGTCCGAAGTAACTGTCTTTTTAAGGTTTGACCCCATAAATAGAATCATACAGTATTACATATTTTTCATGTAATCTGAAAACAGGATCTCATTAGGTAGGTAGCCCAGGTTGATCTCCCAAGGACTGGGATTGCAGGCATGTGTCACCACACCCAGTTTAAATGCATGTGGCTGTGGTTTTTCCCTTGCGGTATAAAATACCATTGTGTAACAGTACCATAGTTTATCCATGGATATCTGGGTTGTTTCCAGGTTTTGCATATAATGTTCCCGTGAACATTTTTGTACGTGAGTTTTGATTCACACACAAATGTGTTTGTATTACCTCCTGAGGAGGGTTTGCCAGGCGAGTGGCTTTTACAAATGGTTGCAGTCATTGACACTCGATCCAGCAGTGGGCATCACTGCTTCATCCTCACCAAATTTGTTAGATAAGTGTGTTCATGTCAGAGTTTATAGTCATGTATCTTAGAGCCTTCACAGAGTTGCATCCCCAGCCATTTTTTACTTTAATTTTGAAACACAGTCTCAATAGCCCATGCTGGGCTTCAACTTACAATCCTCCTGCCTCAGTCTTCCAGGGTGCTGAGATTATGTGTCTGCACCACTACTCCCAACTTCATAAACTTATTTCATTTTGGTGTTGTTTTATTGCTGATGGAAGGAGGGTTGGTCTTACGAAAAGTTAAACATAATAAAACCTTGAATGTGTGAATACATATCCATCACTCAGCTTCAGTTTATCAGCTTCTCAGCTCATGGCCAGTTTTGTTTATGCATATGCATGTCACCTACTGTATTATTTGGAAGTAATTGTGAACATCATTTTATCTGTATGTATTTCAACAGGCATCTATTGAAAGATACATACTTTTTTTTTTAACGTCTATTAAGGTTTTATTAAATCCATTTTGTAGTGGTACGTGCTGGTAATCCCAGCTACTCAGGAAGCTGAGGCTGAGGGACATAAGTTTGAGCCCAGCCAGGGCAATTTAGCAAGACCTTGTCTCAAAAAATAAAAAGGGCTGGGATGTAGCTCAGTGCTAGAAAGTCCTGGGTTTGATTCTGTACCACAACAACAAGAAAAACATCAAATATCCCGTCAGTATTCAAATTTCTAGTGATTGCAAGTGTTCTGTGTTATTTAATTGAACCCTAGTTTTTTATTTGGTTGGTTTGATCAGTTTTGGGGCGGTGTTTTTGGTTTTTCTGTTTCGGTGAGGTTAGGTGTGCAGAACTTGCTTGGCAGATGCTCTGCCACACCCAGAACCCTGACTCAGTTTGTACTCTCATGATGTGCGTACAGTGCAATTAGTTCATGTGACCCCAAGACTATTTTAGTATATAGCATTATTTTCCCTTTTTTTTTTTCCTTGAAACAGGTTCTCGCTGTCTAGTTCAGGCTGGGCTTTTTAACGGGAGACAGTCCTCCTGCCCTAGCCTCCCACGTGCTGGGATTATAGGTGTGTGCTGCCACGCCTGGCCTGCATCTTTTTTGTTTTTCCTTCCAATTTATTTATTAGAGAAACTTGGTTTTCTTATCCCTACCTTTGGCTTTTGTCAGTGGCCTTCACCATTTTATGAATTTCCTGGTATTGCTGTAAAGTTGCCTTAATTTTTTTGTGATAAAACAAATTTTTTATATTACAGGTTTTTTGTTTTTGAGACAGGATCTTGCTATGTTGTTCAGACTGGCCTTGAACTCACTCCATAGACCAGGCTCTCCCCACCACCTGCCCCAGCGATTCTCCTCCCCCACTCTCCTGAATGCTGAGATTACAGGAGTGGCCACCACACCAGCTGTATTATGTATTATGGTTCTAGTAGCTGACAACCTGAAATCAAGGTGTTGCAAGGTTGCCTTCTCCTAAATGACTCAGGGAAACCCTGTTCATTCCTTTTTGTAGCTGCTGGAGGCTGTTAGCAATCTTTGCATTCGTTGGCTAGCAACATCATTGCACTGCAGCCTCTGCCTCTATATTCACATGACCTGCCCACCATTCCTTGGATTTAAGAAATACCCTAACTCTGGGCCAGGGATATAGCACAGCGGCACACACCTGCCTGGCAAGTGCGAAGTCGTGAGTTCAATTCCTGCTACCAAAAAAAGAAATACCCTAATTCTAGATTGATCTTGTCTCAAGATCTTCACTTAATTGTGTTTACAAAAACCCTGTTTTCAAGTAAGATCACAGTCACAGGTGACCTTACAGGGAATTCATTTCTAGTGTGGTTTCATTTGTTCTCCTGTCCTTGGCATTTGTTCTCCTGTCCTTTGCAAATAGTTACTTGAATCTGTTGTTGTTTGTTTGTTTTGTCTTTTTTTTTTTTTTTTTTTTTTTCCTCCGGTACCAGGAACCGAACTCACGACCTTGCACTTGCCAAGCAGGTGCTTTTTGCCGCTGAGCTAAATCCCCAGCCCTGTTTTGTCTTTTTGAGACAGGGTCTCACTCTGCAGTTCAGGCTGGCCTTAAGCTCACTTTGTAGCCCAGGCTGGTCTCGAACTCCCAGCGATCCTCCCGCCTCAGCCTCCTGAGTGCTGGGATTGCAGGCGTGGGCCACCACACCCAGCAGTTAGTTACTTGAATCTAGACAGTGGATTAGATACACTTCTGTTATGCTTCTGTGGGAGGACTACTACTTAGTTGAATGATTTAATCTTTTATCAGGGGACATAGGGTCTCTGGTGGTTACCGTTTCTGAAGTGTTAGCAGTCTAATGTAGGCACTAGAAAGTGATATATTCTAGTCTCACCATTTCCTCAGACTCATTCTCATTTGGCATTTGTTTCCCACTCTCTGCTCAAACTAAACATACCAAGAGCACATCCACATTGCAAAACCCAGTGGTAGATTCTCAATCAGAGCCTTCTGTGGCCTCTGGTGCATAATGCAGTTGATTGCTAGTTCTTTGATAATTTTTTCACTTGGCTTCTAAGAACTTGCTCAGGTCTATGGCAACACATAGACATAATAAGGATTGTGAGCAGTTGATACAGGTTTCAATTTTAATAATGTTAGATAGAAGGTGTGGCATGCTAGAAACAGCAGCTAAAAGACTCACAGTGGTTGCTTCCTGAAGGGAGATGACAGAAAGACAGCAGGAGGGTTGGGGATTTAGCTCAGTGGCACAGCGCTTGCCTGGCAAGCACAAGATTGTGAGTTCGATTCCCAGTACCAGGGAAAAAAAAAAAAAAAAACAAAAAAAAAGACAGAAGGACAGTAGGAAAGGCAAAAGAACCTGAACTTGCTACATTTCACTAAAAGCCTTTTGGTCTTATTTGACTCTTTCAATAATGTCCCTGTGTTACTCAATATAATAGAAATCCATTTACAAAATACCTCATCAATATATTGCTTTTATTTTGCTGTAGATTTGCCTGGCAAATGTGTGTCTTATACCCTTGGACTTCTAATTTCTGGTCTCTTATTCTCTTTCAGAATGGCAGTTCGGAAAACCCTCATTCCTCCCCAACCTCCTGAAGTGGCCAGCCCTCGAGTGGAGAGCTCTATGCGGAGTACATCCGGGTCACCAAGACCTGCAGGGTAAGCACTGAAGTGTTTCTACCACTCTTGCTTTCAGTTACACATCCTTTTGGAGGAAAGTCTAGTAAATGGTGCCCAATTTCACATAACTTTCCTATTTGCACCTTTTTTATATGCCTTTTCTAACTCTGTGACCTGGAAACATTTGTCAACCTTTCTGGGTCCCTTTTGCATTGTATATAAAGTGAATTTTTTTGTTTGTTTGTTTTTCTTTTTTTTTTTTTTTTTTTTATAATTGTTATTTTTTTGAGATAGGATCTCGCTATGTAGTTCAGGCTGGCCTTAAACTCACCATGTAGTCCCAGCCGGCTTCAAATTCCTGGCAGTCCTCCTACCTCAGCCTTCCAAGTGCTGGGATTAAAAGTGCATGTATTTAACAATACCTGCCTCATAAAATTCTTGTTTTTTAAGCAAGATGCACTTAATTTAGATCTTCCCTGAAATACCCAGTTGTTACTGCTGTCAAAATTGCATCATAACAAGGGGGCTGGGGGTATAGCTTAGCGCGCAAAGTCCCGAGTTCGATTCCCAGTACCCTCCCCCACCAAAAAAGCATCATAACAGTAGTTAATGCATAGTTTTTCTTTATTCGTAATCTTTTTAATTCCAAAAGTAATGTTATTTTAGGAAAATAATCAGACAATATAAAAATACTTAAAGTATGAAAAGGTGGGTATGGTAGTGTATGCCTCTGTTTTCCATTTATTACTGAGGCTGAGGTGGGATTGAGCCCAGGACTTTGAGACCAGTCTGGGCAACACTGGACTCTATTTCTAAAATAATTTTTAAAAAATTTTGGGGCTGGGGATGTAGCTCAGTGGTAAAACACTTGCCTGTCGTGCATAAAATCCTGGTTTCAATCTCCAGAGCCAAAAAGTATATAAAATTAATACCATTTTTAAAAATAAAAAGAAGTGTTACCAGTCAGTGCTCACTAGAAAAACAGATTTAATATGAGAATATATATGTGTGTATGTATGAATTTACAAGGTAGGCTTACAGTCGCCACCTGTAGAGTCAGAAGTTGAAGAATGATAAAGGGCTCTCTGTGTGTTAAAGCGCTGAAGGATCCAGTCAGAAGTCAAAGGCCTGGAGCTCACTGTAGTGTCCAGTGCGAGTCCACATGAGGAAGGTGAAGGGTCTGTACTGGAGGTTAGAGAGTCTATGCTGAAAGCCCGAGAAAACTGCCAAGGTGAGGGCAAAGACTGGAGCTCCTCCAAAGAAAAAGAAGCAAGCCTTACTTCTTTCCTTTTTTTATTCCATTTAGGCAACACGCCTATTGGTTTGTACCACTCACGCCTGGAGTGGGTCTTGTTCAGTAAATTCCTTCAGTCACACCCAGAGCTATGCTAAACCTATCAGCGGGGCATTTCTTACTCAAGTTGGCATAATAGTTAACTATCACAACGATTGAACCATGAAGGCAGAGATTAGGGTGGTGGCAAAGAACACCGAAGACTGCCAGCAAACCAGCAAACCATCAAAACCCCACACAGGTATAGAACAGGGCTGAGAAAGTAGCTCAGCATGAAGGCTGTGGGTTCATCCCTAGTACCACCCCTCCCCAGAAAAAAGATTTTAAAGTACTTTGCACTACAGTTTGGCAGTTTATTTATGACTTGACCAGGTGCGGGTTTCTTTCAGTTTATCCTGCATGGAGTTTATCCTCCATGGAGCTGCATGGAGTTAAACATTTGGATTAATGTTTTTCATCAGTTTTAGAAGTTAGAGATTTGGCTTAGCCTGCCTGGCAAGCACAAGGTCATGAGTTCAATTCCCAGTACCAGGAAAAAAAAAAAGAGAGAGATTTGGCTTAGAGGCCCTGGATTTGATCCCAGGGACCACAAAAAAGAAAGTAGGGTAGGGATGGGGTTTAGAAGATCATTATTTTTCAAATAGTGTCTTTCTTTGTATTAGTCTTTCCACACTCTTCAAATTCTGTAATGTAATGTACAATTCCCAGAGAGTCTTTCTTTTTCTTCACATTTCATTTTTGTTTCCTGTACCAGGTAACCTCACGTAACTCATCTTCCAGCTCACTTCAAGCTTCCTTTCTTGTGTCATTCAGGTGACTTTTCCTTTTAGCATTTAGGCTTCACTTTTTAACTCCAGAATTTCTGTTTGATCCTTTTTATAATTTCTGTCTCTTATTGATACTCTCAATTTGCTAAGACACCATTTTTACACTTTTATACTTTCCTTTAGTTCTTTTATAGTTCTTGGATTTTTTTTTTTTTTTTTTTGAGACAAGATCTCGCTGTGTAGTTCACGCTGGCCTTGAACTCACTGTCTAGCCTAAGCTGACCTCAATTTTGCAGCAGTACTCCTGCCTCAGCCTCCCAAGTGCTGGGATTACAGGCATGTGCTATCACCCCCAGCAAACATATTCTAAATAGATGATTTAAATTTTTTGTCTATCATCTGTGATTCCTCAGTGACTGTTGGTTGCTTTTTCCCATACATGGACCATACTTTGTTTCTTTATACATCTCATAATTTTTTGAAAACTGGACATTTTAAACAGTATATATAATAGCTCTGAAAATTAGATTCCTGCCTCTTTCCAGAATTTGTTCTTACTGCCATCTGTTGTAGTTGTAGTCGTTTCTTTAATTCCTTTCCTCAAAGCCCATTCTCTGTATTCTTCCTTAGCCAAGCAGTGTCTCGTAGCTATAGTCCCACTACTGGAGAGGCTGAGGCAGGAAGATTACTTGAGTTCTTTGAGACTGGTCCAAGCAAAATAGCAAGACCCTGTCTCTGAAAACAGCTCTGCCTTACCTACCCCTCACGTACCACAGATCCAGGCCTAAAGTCAGCTAGAAGAGAGGACAATTTAAGGTCTTCTCTATTCTTCTTGGCCATGTGCATTGCCCTGGACATACTGTCATGGTCCTTCCTAGAATGCCAGAAGTGTATCGGTGTTTCAAGGTCCTGTAGATTATTTAATTCTTCAGCTTTTCCTTTAAGCTTTTTGGGCAGGCTACTGTTTGACCTAGCTACCAACAGTCTCTTAGTTGTGTGATACAAAATGGATTAATTGCTTCCTTTTTTTTTTTAAACAAAAGCCCCTTGGGAAGAAGGCTTTTGCACTGCATATATTCAGAGTGTGGTCAAGCGCTGTTGTACATGTGGAGTCTTCCTGGTTTAACCAGAACCATAGTGACAGGGTTCTGGGACGAAAGGTTTGAAGGAGTGCCAACCCCTTCTGTAGTCAGAGACTTCTAGTTTTCACTGTGAATGTGGGCTGTTGGTATGCAAGCCTACTGCAGAGCTGGAGAATGGAAGGAAACAGGGCAGGTTAAAACACTGCAAAGTAGCCAGGCATGGTGGCGCATGCCTGTAGTCCCAGCACTTGGGAGGCAGAAGGATTGCTGTAAGTTCAAAGCCAGCTTGCACCTCATAGTGAGACCCTGCTTCAAAAAGACAAAAATAAATAAATGAATAAAACACTGCAAAGTTTGCTCCTTACCTAGATTCAACCAATTGAATAATTTTGCTAGATTACTAAAAATCTTTGGTTAATTTCCAGAATTCTGAAAAACTAAGTTGGGTTTCATTTTTGAGTTTTGCCTTTTTGTTGTTATTGTTATGGAGGAATTATTTTGTTTTTAATCCCAGAAGAGTCCTTACCCCTATGCAACCCACTATTAAAATCTTTATTTTGAAATAATTTAAGACTCACAAAAAATGGGAAAAATCATACAGAGAACTCCCGTGGACTCTACCCAACTTTCCCTGGTGATTATATATATTGCATAACCTTAGTACATTTTCAGCATGAAAAATTAGACATTAGTTGAACAGTATTGACTTACCTGCAAACCTTATTAGAATGTCTGCAGATTTTATAAGCACTTCCTTTGTGGGGGAAAGAGAGATACAGTGGTTTGAAGTTTTATCACATGCATAGATCTGTGTAGCCATTACCATAAGCCATTACCATAAGAATACTGTTGCTGCAAAGGAAGTCCCTCATTTATAGGTAACACCCTTCCCCTTTTCCTTTTAACTATTCGCTGTCACTGTAGTTTTGTTTTGTTTTTTTGTTGTTTTTTTTTTTTTTGAGAGTTTAATGTAGGAATCACATAGTCACAAGTAAAAATAAAGATTTATAAGTGTATATTTGACACATAATCACTTAATGATACTGGCTTATATTCACTTACCTTAGTTTTTGTTTTGGGGTTTGTTTTTTGTTTTTGTGGCCCTTTAGGTTGTAGCATGTATTTGTTCTTTTTGGATCAGTTAGTTTTGTTTCTGTTATATGGATATACCAGAATTTATCCACTTGTTTACCAAAGTACATTGAGGTTGTGTTTCTAATTTAGGGACAGTCATCAACTATGAACACTCACATACAGCTTTCTTGGAAGACTTCCTATAGGACACAAATCCCAAGAATATGATTGCTAGATTATATGATACATGTGTTTTCAGTTTTCTAAGAATTGCCAAAGTGTATTCTAAGATAGCTGTACCATTATAAATTTTCACTGGCACCAAATAAAACACTCTTACCTATCCTGCAACTGTGTAAAACTCACTAGTGCTAGGAAGTTTTATCACCAGCTAGGAAGTACTGGTTGTTCCACATTCTTTCTCACACTCAGTATTATAAAGTTTTTTAAAAATCTTCTTTAAAAACATTAAGCCTTACTGGGCATGGTGGTGCACGCCTATAATTCCAGCACTCAGGAAGCTGAGACAGAAGGATCTGTGTGAGTTTGGGGCCAGTCTGAACTACATAGTGAAACCCTCTCAAAAAGCCAAAAAGAAAAGAAAGAAAACTTTTAATAGGTATATAGTAGTAGATCGTGAAGGCTATACTTTGCCTTTACCTGGTGGCTAAAGATGTTGCGTGTCTTCTTATGCTTATTTTCCACCTGCATATTCTCTTCGGTGGAGTCTCTGTTCATAATTCATGTTTTTGGCCATTTTCTAATGGAATTACATGCTTTTTGTAGTGTTGATTTTATAGGGTTCTTTACATATTTTGACTATAATTTCTTTGCAAGGTGTATATGTTTCAGGTGCTTTTTTTTAAACCATGGGAGACTTTTTTTGAATGAACACTTAAATACATTCATAATGCTATATAATGGAGCTCTAGATCTTTTTGATCTTCACAAACTGAAACTACCCATTCAGTACTAATTCACCTTTCCCCTTAGTTCCTAGCCCTTGCCAACAGCTGTCCTACTCTTCGTGCCAACCGCTATCCTACTCTTCGTTCTATGAATTTGACCACTCTAAGGACCTCATGTAACAGAAAGCACACAGTTGGTTACTTGTGCATCATATCCCCAAGATTTATCCTGACAGTTATATACATTGCAAACATTTTCTTCCAATCTGTGACTGTTTTTCAACTTCTTCTAATGGTCTTTAGCAAAGCAAAAGTTTTTTTAGTTTTGATAAAGCCAAATTTATCATTTTTTATGGATTATACTTTTGAATTATATCAAAAAACTCTTCACCTAACCCTACATTTTCTTTTGTATTTTTCTAAAAAGCTTGTATTTTTTTTTTATATTTAGATCTGTGATCTGTTTTGTTACATTCAACATGAAGTTTAGGTCGATGATCATTTCTTTGCCTGTGGATGTCCAGTTTTAGCCTTGAACTTGAGGGTTGTTGTGTTGGTTTTTTAATACCTCAATTTCTGGCAATAGTATTAAAGGTAAAGCATTATATCTATTTAGTGAAGTGTTTTACCACTTAAAAAAAATTTGTAAATGCTATAACTTACAGAAAATAATAAATTCCTATAAAATTGAAAAACTAGGGCACACATTTTTGACAATGTATTTGTAGCTATTTAACCTGCCTGAAGTATAAGTTGTAAGAATGGTCCCTCAGGTAGATGGCTACATGTGGAGAGAGAATTTAACTTTCAACTTGTATTCTTTTGTACTATTTGGAACTATACCCACTTGTGTGAGTTTTCTCATCTATAAGAAATAGGTCCATAAGAAACTGTATATTAATACAACTGTAGTTTAAAAGGAAAAAAACTACAAAGACAACCTACATATAGTAAAAACATCTGGAGGAAATAATGCATTCATGAAAATTGGTAATTTCGTGTACAGTGATATGATTTCAAACTATTTTCTAGGTTAATTGAATTACTCTTTATAAAAACATGATAGGGTGGGATTACATAGGATCTTTTAGAAACATAGATTCCAGGCTAGATGTGTAACTCAGAGCCCTAGGCATGCACAAGGCTAGGTTCAATACCCAGCACCATGAATAAATACATACCTGAATTCCCTTTAAAAATTACCTTCAAGTTTAGAATCAAGGAACAGAGTGTCAGTTTTGCACTGCTATACAATGAATGAGGCAAATACCCATGCTCCAAGATGTTGCAGCCTATAAGGTGGTTTTCTCTCATTTGCTTTTTGTGCTTTTTTTTTAATGTTTCAGTGCCAAACCTAAATCTGAAATCCACGTGTCTATGGCCACTCCTGTCACTGTGTCCATGGAGACTGTATCCAATCAAAATAATGATCAGCCTACCATTGCGGTCCCTCCCACTGCCCAGCAGCCTCCTCCGACCATTCCAACCATGATTGCTGCCACCAGTCCCCCCTCACAGCCGGCCGTTGCGCTCTCAACCATTCCTGGAGCAGTCGCCATCACTCCACCCATCACTACTATTGCAGCTGCACCACCACCAACAGCCACTGTGGGTGGCAGCCTCTCCTCTGTCATAGGGCCCCCTATACCTGAGATCAAAGTGAAAGAGGAAGTAGAGCCAATGGACATCATGAGGCCAGTTTCCGGTAAGTTCATGCACAGAATACTCTCCCTTGACAGCTACTTCTATCCTGTGTCCTCACTCTGTACTCTGCAGTTCACCTCTTTTTTGTGTGGCCACAAACCAGGACGTAGAACTCTGGTGCTCCATTTTAAATGTTGCATTTTATTTATTTTTAGTAAATGGAAGGCGCTCCTTTTGAACACTGAGACCATTTTCTTTGCTCTTTTATCATTAATTTTAATTTCTAATCAAAATAGTGAGAATAATATTTCTGCATGTGTATCCTTTAATATAGAAATACTACAGCCAGGCATGGTGGTATACAAGTTCAAGCTCCGCCTGGGCAGCTTAGTGACTCAGCAAGACCCTTGCTCAAAATTTAAAAGCTAGTAAGTAAAAAGGGCTGGAATGTAGCTCAGTGTGAAGGCTGTGAGTTTAATCCCTCATAACACCTAAATGAAGAGAAGGGGAAGGAAAATGTTGCCTTAAAAAGGGGTCAAGAATGGTCATAGCAAAAAAAAAAAGAGAATGGTCATAGCTAAGTACTGTTACACTTTGGGAATCTAGAAAAAAATGAAGAGGACATGAAGCTACAAAGTGACTTTTAGAGAAGAGAGGGGGACAGAGGGTTAGGAACTGTAACTGTAAAAGGAGGGTGCTGTGATCAGAGTATGTTTCATGCATGTATGAAGATGCCACTGTGGAACCCAGTATTCTCTTGGCAAAGCAAGTGTCTATAACGGCATTTAGACTTTTTTTTTTTTTTTTGGAGACAAGGTCTAGCTATGTAGCCCAGGCTGGCCTCAAATTCACATCAATCCTTCCACTTCAGCCTCCTGAGTGCTGGGATTACAGTCTTTCACCACCATGCCCAGCTTAGATTTTTATAACAAGCTAAAATTTAAAAAAGTATAAAGTTAAGGTTTACAGTTTGTTCCTTGGCAAATTTTGTTGTCATTTTCTTATACAATAAAGTAAGAGTCATGGTTTTAAAATGCTCTTGATAAACGTCTATGTGATTAATCAAATCCCAAAGCTATTGATCACCTGTTTGTCCTTCAACGATAAATGTTCAATTGTGAAAGTCAACTAACTTCAGAGACTTTCTTTTTTTGTTGGTTTGTAAATTAGTTTTGGATTACAAAAAATTTATTGTAGGGTTTTGTTTTTCCCAACCACAGAAGTAGCACAGTGTTGAAATTTATGAAATAATGACAAATCCAAAGTGGAAACTCAGTTATTTTGTGCTCCAGTTACCCAGTGCTACCTGCCATTTCTATGTGAGGGCCCCTGTTTCCCACTCATTGGTTCAGTGAGAGGTGTGGTTTTGTTATTTATATTTATTACACTGTGAATATATCCATCCGCGGGTTTAGATAGCCCTGGCTCTTCTTTGAAAGATGCCTTAGATAACTAGAGGGGAAATGAAATGTCTTAGATTTTGCTGCTTGTCGAGTTCCTTTGTTTAGAAAGGGAAGAAGGACATGAAGCTACAAGGTTCCTCCTTACCTGCACGTGCCAGGAAGCTAAGATACCATGTAACCTCTATGCAGAAATTGTTCTCATGCTGATGGTACAACCTTGTATAAAACACGTGCATCTCTCTACCCTCTCAGAACATGCTTTCTACAAGGAAGACAGAGTAAAATGATAAAGCAGTTATTATGTTGTGTGTGTGTGTCTGTGTGTGTGTGTATTTATTTATAAATAAATTTATTTATTTAGATGTTAAGTCCTCTGGTGAATGAAAGACAAGCTACTGTGCAGGAAAAGTTAGGTTTGAGGCTGGAACTATAGAAAAGGGTATTAAAGGCCTCATGGAAGAAATGACGTTGGAGTAAAGCTAGGAGAAATGAAGTGCTGGCCTGAGGCTGTCTGGGAAAGGAGCACTCCTGGCCTAGAGAGCAGCAAGTGCAAAAGCCTTGACATTGGAGTGTCACAGCCTCAGGTCCTCAGAGTTGGCACAGGAGGTGGAACGAAGTGAGGGCAATAGCAGAGGACAAGGTCAGAGATGAGGTCAGCAGTCAAAGAGCCTCAGCCACGTAAGGACCTGGGCTGTGCTAGGTTAGTGGCAAGCTGTTGAGGCATTTGAACAGAGGAATGCCAGGAGCTCAGTTAGGTTGTAAGCACAGCATTCTGGCTGCGGTGGAAGCAAAGGAGGAAGCTGGGATACTTGTCTTAATCCTGTTGCACTAACTATAGAGAACAGTGAGGCTTCAGCTAAGGTGGTTAGCAGTAGGTGTGCTATGAGATGGTTGGGTTCTGGGTTTTTTCCCCCCATGCTGGGCTTCAAACCTAGGGCCTCCATATGCTAAACAACACCCACCACTGAGCTATACCCCAGCCCCTTGATAAGTTTTAAGTTGCAGCTGAATTTTTGGGTGTTGTTTTGTTTTGGCCATACCCGGGATTAAACCACGAGCCTTTGCACTGAGCAACATCCCTAGCCCTTTTTTTTTTTAGAGTGAGTCTCACTAGGTTGCCTAAGCTGGGCTCAAACATATCATCCTCTTGCCATAGCCTCTTGAGAGTGCTAGGGTCACAGGTGTGGAGTCACTACCATGACGATTAAAGATTAGATGGTGAGGATGAGGTATTTGGCTTTAGCAGCTAGAAGCCATGGAGTTGCCATCAGATGAGATACAGAAGGTTGCAGAAAGACCTTTTTTTTTTTCTTTTTTTCTTTTTGGTACTGGAATCAAACTCAGGACATCACGCTTGCCAGGCAGGTGCTGTGCTGCTGAGCTATATCTCCCGCCCCAAGGACCATATTTTGTTGGGGCAGATTAGGAGTTGTTTTTGGTCCAAGTTTGAAATGTCTGTTAGACATCCAAATGTTGGCATCAAGTAGGAAGTTTAATCAACAAGCCTGGATTTTGGCATAGAAAGTGAAGTTGCAAGTAGAAATTTAAGAACTGTACATACAGGTATATAGAGATGTATACAGATATATATTGTGTTCCAAGCCACAGCCTGGATAAGTGGATATAGTCATTGAGGAGATTAATGCAGATAAAAGTTGAAGCAGTTCATAGACTGGGCCCTAGCACAGAGCATCATTGTGAGGTGGGAGACAAGACAAAGTTCACCAAAGGAGACTGAATGGAGAGGCAGTGTGGTAGAATACTAGTTGGGGTGTGAAGTGGTCTGTAAGGCAAGAGCAAAAATACTTTAGGAGGAATGTTCAGCTGGGTCACGTGCTCTTGAGAGATCAAGGAAACTGAGGCTTGAGCAGGTCACCCTGAGGTTTAGCCACACAGAGGTCACAGAGACCTGGAGGAGAGCTGCTGTGTAATAGGAATAGTAAAGGCATGATTGGAAGCAAGTTCAGGAGAAACCTGGGGGTGTCAAGATCAGCCCAGGGGATGGAGGGTGCATAATTCTGGGTGGGCCATGGAAATATGACTTTGGATTCTGTGTCTGTCCCCTGCCCCTTCCCCTCCCCAGCTTGCTGGCCTCCATGAAGGAAGCCACTTTGTTCCACCACCCACTTCTACCATAATGTTGCAGCCTTGGAGCCAGGGAAGATATACTGGCTCCTCTTAAAACCTGACCTACTTTTTGTCAGGTGTAGTAGCACACACCTGTAATCCTAGTATTCATGAGCCTGAGCCAGGAGGATCTCCATGGTTTGAAGCTGGCCTGAGCTACATATTTTCCTGTTTCTACCTCCTGTTTCTACCCACTGCCAGGGATTTCTGGGTGGAAATGGGAGAATGCAACTTACATGGTTTGAAGCTGGCCTGAGCTACAAGTTTAAGGATCAGCCCACACTACCTAGTGTGAGACCCTGTCTCAAAAAAAAAAAAAAAAAAAACTGTGAAGCAGTTTTGGCATAGAAAGTGAAGTTGCAAGTTGAAATTTAAGAGCTGTATATACAGGTATATAGAGGTGTATACAGATATGTATTGTGTTCCAAGCCACAGCCTGGATAAGTGGGTATAGTCATTGAGGAGATTAATGCAGATAAAAGTTGAAGCGACCTCCTTCTCTTCAAAGGGTATGGGTGGGCCAGGATACCTGCAAGGGGCTGGGTGGGAACCTTCACTCGGCAGCTGCAGAGGCTTGGGGCAGCAGTTGATGTGTTCCAAGGTGTGGATGTTGAGGCTGGCCGAACAGGCTTCAGGACCATGAAACCCCCAGGAGAATCTAGCAATCCTTTTGGAAGTCTAGAAGAAGCTATTCCTTCAAACAGGCCTAATGGGATGACATCTAATATTTTTGGACCAATTGAAGAACCTCTGAACATACCCAAGAGGACCCAACAACATCTGAGCCCACCTGATAGGAAGACTGGTGACAGTTTTGGTTCCCCAGTCACTGCAGCTTTACTCCTGACACACCCACACAAACCCAAGGACCATTTCGTACGAAGGAGAAGACCCCAAATCAAACATCATAGCTGTAACAAGCAGCTCACCACAAGAAGAGCTGATGACAAAGGGCAGCTTGAGAGAAGTGGACCACACCAAGGAGCTGTAACCCATTCCCACAGTTGACAACCATGAGCCCAAGCTGGGGCCACAACCTCCTTCTCAGAACAAGGTCCTGAACCCTCCTGGAGGCAAATTCAGCATCTCCTACTGAGAGGCCCCTTATAGCCAGACTAGAAACCCAAGATAGGGTATCAGATGTTACCATCTTCTTTAACCCAAAGTAATGGGGTGAGAGGGTTTATGTGTGTATGAGCCTGGCTGCTCAGTGCTATACTGTGCTCCTGACAGCTGCACTGAGATCCATACCTTCCTGACTGTTGGGAAACAGTAGGACTCCCTTGGGGTCTACCCATTCGTTGTTGCTGATGGAGCAGAGTTCTAGGATGGGTGAGGGCAAGAAGACAGTGCGGGGCAACAAGAGGCTTATCAGGTTTTCCCTGTCCTTGCATCAGTGTTCTGCTGACTGGGCACCTTAAAAGCTTATGAAAGAAAACCCTGACACCCTGTCTGTTTCTGTGGGACAGGAAATAAGCATGAGCAGAAACACTAAGAAGGCAGTGGGAGTCTCTGCATACCCTCTTTAGGT